CTCCCTGTGTACACTCTTCTATCAATCTTTCCACACTTATTAGATACCCGATTTGCAGTAGTTGTCACAATTTGAACACACGACTCTAATGTCAATCTTTGACCACAGCAAACAAATGTCACATGACTCTAATCAGCCAATTCTTGACCTCAGTGAACTTCAGCCCTCAATTAACTCAACCTGAAAATCATGCTATGTTCACTAAGTGAACCTTCCAAGGTCTTTATTTAATTATTTTGTTAACGTTCCGACCTCTCGAGGGTAGGAGAAGACACTTTTCACGGGCAGCTAAATCATTCCGAGCATCTAAAATTTCTATCTGTACTTCCTTCCAATCCCGACTTTCTAGCTATCAGCAGAACGTAGTTTGTCTATTAGGGGTCGAATTTAACCGAAAGATCACCTCCGGGTAGCCGAATAAATTCCCGTCCGTTCATAAAATTTAGGAGACTTAATTATCATGTCGCGGTCCTATTTCCTTCAATTTCTCTGGGACTATTTTTCTTTAATCTAGTTGAATTGCTATTAACAGACCATTCGGCAAGCTAATCTGAACCCAACGTTTACCATCTTCATTTTGAATTAACTCTACTCCTCCAAGGTTTCAATGAATAAGCTGTGACTCTATCAGCTTCTGCTTCAGTTTCCAATATACAAGTATTCTCCCAATTATTAGTAAAGTGAACATTTCTGATTTCCAAAGCGCTCGGACAGGTGAATACGCAATTTTCCGGTGTTAATATTGGGAGTTTCCAAAAACTTTGGGGTCATAACGTTCAAAGGTCAACTTAAGGTCACCCAGGCGTTACCCGGTGTCAAATTTTCATATTTGGGTGCCGAATCCCATGGGGGTTCTAACTATCAAGTTCCACACATATCCCCTTAAAAAGTTATCAATCTTTTCACGCTGATTAGTTACCCGGTATGCGGTAAGTGTCACAATTTGACCAAGCAAACAAATTTCACACGATTCTAATCAACCAATTCTTGACCTCAGTGAACTTCAGCCCTCAAGTTCAACTCAACCTGAAAACCATGCTATGTTCACTAAGTGAACCTTCCAAGGTCTTTATTTAATTATCCTGTTAACGTTTCGACCTCTCGAGGGTAGGAGAAGACACTTTTCACGGGCAGCTAATTCATTCCGAGCATCTAAAATTTCTATCTGTACTTCCTTCCAATCCCGACTTTCTAGTTATCAGCAGAACGTAGTTTGTCTATTAGGGCTCGAATTTAACTGAAAGATCACCTCCGGGTAGCCGAATCAATTCCCGTCCGTTCATAATATTTAGGAGACTTAATTATCATGTCGCGGTTCTATTTCTTTCAATTTCTCTGGGACTATTTTTCTTTAATCTAGTTGAATTGCTATTAACAGACCATTCGCCAAGCGAATCTGAACCCAACGTTTACCATCTTCATTTTGAATTAACTCTACTCCTCCAAAGTTTCAATGAATAAGCTAAGACTCTATCAGCTTCTGCTTCAGTTTCCACTATACAAGTATTCTGACAATTATTAGTAAAGTGAACATTTCTGATTTCCAAAGCGCTCGGACAGGTGAATACGCAATTTTCCGGTGTTAATATTGGGAGTTTCCAAAAACTTTGGGGTCATAACGTTCAAAGGTCAACTTAAGGTCACCCAGGCGTTACCCGGTGTCAAATTTTCATATTTGGGTGCCGAATCCCATGGGGGTTCTAACTATCAAGTTCCACACATATCCCCTTAAAAAGTTATCAATCTTTTCACGCTGATTAGTTACCCGGTATGCGGTAAGTGTCACAATTTGACCAAGCAAACAAATTTCACACGATTCTAATCAACCAATTCTTGACCTCAGTGAACTTCAGCAATCAAGTTCAACTCAACCTGAAAACCATGCTTTGTTCACTCAGTGAACCTTCCAAGGTCTTTATTTAATTATCCTGTTACCGTTCCGACCTCCCAAGGGTGGGGGGAGACACTTTTCAAGGGAAACTGATTCATTCCAAGCATCTAACATTTCTTTCTGTACTTTTTTCCAATGCCGACTTTCTTGCAATCAGGAGAACGTATTTTGTCTATTAGCGGTCAAATTCAACTTAAAAAGTCACCTCCGGGTAGTCGAATAAATTCCCCCGTCCGTTCATACTTAAAAACTGCAGGTGTGAATGTTGTAGATTTATCTCGGGGATTGTCTCCTTTAAGCACAGTTCCCCCTTGATTTATGCTCTTTTCAGCTCTTCTCTGGGGTTTTTAGCTAGTTCAGCATCTCATGGGCACATTAAATAAATTCTATGTCGCAAAGGAAATATAAGCAGTTTACAATGCCCTTAATGAGCTAGCTACTATTTAACAACTTTTGTAACGAAGCCCAGATTTCGTTTTGTTTAATCGCTTCTTTTACTCTATTGTCAATCCTCGCTTGTTGCAAGGCCAAACTCGCCTACTCCAGCAGCGCAACTCTCTCGCACAATTAAATCAGCCCGGTACTAAACTCGGGTTCCAGCGTACCTCGCTTAAACAACTAACTCAACCCGGTACTAACCTCGGGTTCAAATCAGCTAACCTAATTAGCTTACAACTGTGAGACACAACTATGCTCGTTTCAAGCATTAGCGTCCTCCACGGACCAACTAATCTTCTCGGCTTGCTCAATCGTGCTCTCACTAATTAAAAACTAACCATTCGCTCTCTTAGCGCAAGAGTTTTCACTCTCTAAGTCTTTTCGATACCCTCCAGTTCCTTATCTTTATGTACACTTAGTTTTAGTTAAGTCTCTCCATTCGTTCACAGTCCTGGCATCCGCTTAAAGCTTCCGTTTGCACATTTTAAATGACTACGTCCATCCCCCTGTGTACACTCTTTTATCAATATTTTCACGCTTATTAGAAATCCTATATGCAGTAGGTGTCACAATTTGACCAAGCAAACAAATGTCACATGACTCTAATCAACCAATTCCTGACCTCGGCTAACTTCAGCTCTGAATTAACTCAACCTGAAAACCATGCTATGTTTACTTAGTGAACCTCCCAAGGTCTTTATGTTTTTATCCTGTTAACGTTCCGACCTCCCGGGGGTCGGAGGAGACCCTTTTTAAGGGCAGCTAATTCGTTCCAAGCATCTAAAATTTTTATCTGTACTCCATTCCAATCCCGACTTTTTTGCAATCAGGAGAACATAGTTCGTCTATTAGGGGTAGAATTCAACTAAAAATCACCTTCGGGGAGCCAAATAAATTCCCTGTCCGTTCATATTTTTTAGAAAACATAATTATCATTTCGTGGTCCTATTACTTTCAATTTCCTCTGGGACTTTTTTTAGGCTAGTTGAATTGCTATTAACAGACCATTCGCGAAGCTAAGCTGAACCCAACGTTTACCATGTTCACTTTGAATTAACTCTAGTCCTTCAAGGTTTCAATGTATAAGCTATGACTCTATTAGTTTCAACTTCAGTTCCCATATATAAGTAATTTCCTAATTGTTGGTAAGGTGAAAAATTCTCATTTCCAAACGGCTGGGGCCAGTGAATACGTCGTTTTCGAGCCTTACCCTTGGGGTTTCCCATGAAGATTTGGGGTCATAACGCTAAAAGTTCAATTAGGGTCACCCAGGCGTCACCTGGTGTCAATTTTCTGTTTTTGGGTTCAAAATCCCATGGGAGTCCTATTTATCAAGTTCCACACATTTCCAGTTAAAGTTTTCCAAGTTATCCCATTTTTAAGGTCCATTGTCATTTTTCCTCGGAATTGAATATTAACACCGGAAGAAGCTGCCGGATGCATTTTACTCACAAGGGATCTTTTTTTGAGGTTTCTGTTTTTGTCTACTGCCCTTGCTCAATAATCATAACACAAGATGTATCTTGCTATTTCCTGTGATTTCTCCAAGTTTCAGCTTCCAGCGTTCATTGGCGGCCGAGAAACGATTTCTGGAAGTTTGGGATGTTTTTATTTATATAGAGTTTAAAACCAGAAGAGGGGGTCCTGGGGTTCTGGGGTTCTGGGGTTCTTAAGGGTACTTAAGCATCCCTCAAAAGGCCTACAATATACTGAGCCCAATACTGCCGCTAGTTGCCGAGTTCCGATAGAACCATCTACACTTCCGGAGACCGTTATCACTTGCACCCATGGGTCTGGTAGTCATGATTTTCGATGCTCGGGGCAAATCATCTCTAGTACCGCTCCTCTGAGTTTCATAGCACTAGCTTCCTCAGTTCCCATTTGGGGGGGGGAGGTTCGCCAATTTGATGTCTTTTTTCTGATATAGGAGTGACGAACTGTTCCAAGCTTGAATTATTTTGAGCTCGACATTTTGTTTGCTGTTCTACTTAACTTAATGACCTATCAATCTTACGATCAGGTTAATATTGCATGTAAAACAGTATACTCGCAAATTCTAAAATTGAGATACGGTTTTTGGGGATGTCGGTTCATCGGAAATTTAGCAACAAGTCGCCGGAAATCGATTTATTTGCTATTTCTATTAAAATTTTCCATCAAAACCCACCTTCAAACTTGAAACAATTGACCCGTAATTTTCTATATCCTTTAATAAAGGAGTGAATAAATCGAAAAATGCCCAAAAAAGATATGACAGCTCTGCCGAAAAATGATCTCAGGTTGTCAAACGGAAATTTTTTTGAAAATTATTATGAACCATTCAATGAAACCCTGAATTCAGATCTAACAAAAAAATTCAACTAGTAAATTGTCACATAAAAATTTTCAAATCCTTGAAAAAAAAGGTCACAAAAAGACAATAACTTGCGCCGTTTTCTTGAAAGAGTTTCAAAAACGTAATAATTGTGCGACTCGAAAGGTTAAAATCTTTATATTTTGCTTCATAACCCAATTCTGTTTTTTAAGCAAAAACGTTAATGTTTTTGATGATACCGCAACATTCTATAGCAGAGGTGAGTTTTCAACTTAAAAACGTTCTTTTACATAAATTGTTATATCGTTTTAATGAATTATCACAAAAACAAAAATAAAACTATACCAATGCACGTTCTAACATCAAAAATACTCATTTCAAACAGACTTGCATGTTTTATGCATAGTTTTGGTTTATTGCTGTGATTGAATGTTTAATTCATTACTAAGCTGGACCGTGCACAGCAAAAATCATGGCAGCTGAATACAACAGAACTGCATCACAGGTAAAAAAAATGATCTTATAAACAAAATTTTATAGTTTTTTTTTTTTTCAAATTTTGTACAAGATTTTTTATCGTTGCAAGTTTAAATTTTATTTGGGTCCCAAAATCAACTTGAAGTCTTACTATATAGTGTGGTGAAAGACAATAGCTTATACAGATCTATAGAAGTCTAATTTAACTAAGGTTAGTGAAGCCTTCTTGAAACCAGCTGATTGCAATTTTTCATAGAGCTATAATAAAAATATTTAAAAACCTGTGTTTCAAAATTAGTGCAAATGCTTTTTTGCAGCCGTTCAGTTTTTAATGAAGCAAAAGTTGAACAGATTTGACTTTAGCCCCCCAATGAGGACGATCTACCTCCCGAAGAGTCCATGAACAATGCACTAGGGGGAGAGGGTAATGGGGAGGGTTTTGTGTACCGGGTGCCCAAGGGTGACAACCCCGCTGCCGCTCCTCCCCGAGGACCCATTGGGGACATTTTTAATGACTACGACTACGACGGGGGATCGAACCACTTCCAAAATGCAGACAGATATCAGAGGTAATTTTTTTCAAAGTTTTGTTGTTCCTTCCATTGAAAATGGGGAGGAACTTTGTATTCGGTTGTTGGAGTTTTTTTCCACGCAAAATCAGGTACAAAATCAGGTACCACAAATAATGCTTGGAATGGTTCGAGTAATATATGATATTAAAACACTTTCAGTAGTTTTCTCATTGTCAAGAAAAACCATTTGAAGTTTGTGATTCTGGTCTAATTTTGAGCGAACAAGGTGAGCGAGCAGGCTTTTTAAGTTTTTTTAACCAAAAGCATTTACCACAAATAATATTGCTAAAGGGTGGACTAATGTATCATATTAAATCCTTTTCAGTCCTGATTTGAACGACTCTACAACGTTTTCAAAAAGTTGCCCCAGTGTCGAGAAAAACCGGTTTGATTTTTTTTTAAGTTTTAGTCTAATCAAATCACGAGTGAGTAAAGTAATGGAGCAAACTTATCGTTCCGACCATTTGAAAAATGGGTAAGACCTTTGTATTTGGGTGTTTTAGTTTTTTTTATTTCCTTGCAAAATCAGGTACTCCCAAACAATCATCGGACTGGGTTGAGTGATATATCATATTAAAACCCTTTCAGTCGTGATTCGAAATACAATTTAAAATTTACAAAAAGTCAGTGTCTGGAAAAACCGAATTGAACTTTTGATTTTTCGTCTAATTTCAAGAAAGAAAAGCGAGCGAGCAGTCTTATCCATGCAGTGAAAGTTACTAAAGATTATTTATGCTTAGTTTAGGCCGTAAAAAATTTATTAATTTTTTTATTTTTTTGATTTTCTCGATAAGGATTTTTTGCTTTATTTTTATGATCATTTTTCTGCATAAACTGTTGTCCAATTTGCTTACTTTACTATGATTGTCGAGTATGCCTAAGCTCTCGTTTTTTGTTCCCATGCTTTTATCACACAACGCGTAAAAAACGACACTTACTTTCGATTAAAATTTTTTTGTATGTTTTAGAACTATGGTCTGAATATTCTGTGCTACTCGCACACCGGCTATCCATTTTTTAGAATGATAAGCCATAAAAATTTAGTTTTTTACAGTTAAAACTTTTTAAAAGTTTTATGAAGCAATTTTTGGAATAATTCAAAAATTCAAAACAATTTATGCAACAAAAAAGATTTTTTGACAAAAAACTGTTGTCCAATTTGCTTACTTTACTATGATTGTCGAGTATGCATAAGCTCCCGTTTTTTGATCCCATGCTTTTATCACACAACGCGTAAAAAACGACACTTACTTTCGATTAAAATTTTTTTGTATGTTTTAGAACTATGGTCTGAATATTCTGTGCTACTCGCACACCGGCTATCCATTTTTTAGAATGATAAGCCATAAAAATTTAGTTTTTTACAGTTAAAACTTTTTTAAAGTTTTATGAAGCAATTTTTGGAATAATTCAAAAATTCAAAACAATTTATGCAACAAAAAAGATTTTTGACAAAACCCCAGACTGATTTGCCAATTTTACTGTGACCGTCAATTATGTTTAAGTTTCATGCTTTTGTCAAATCTTTTTATCACGCCGCGCACAAAAAACACCACTATCTTAAAAAGCTTGAAAAACGTTTTATGCATTTTTTAAAAATATGGTCGGAGCAGTCTGAGATACATGCAACATCTGCCGTCTGTCGAATCATAAAAAATGTTAAATGATCCAAAAGCTTGAACTAATTATATTTAAGAATTTTTCATTATGACTAATATAGAGATAATGACTTTACCATGACCAAAATAATCATGCCTTTTTTCATTTTTCGAACCAACTGAACGAATTAACAAAACCTTTGCCTTGCATTCTGAACGAAATTTTGGGTAATTTACTATACGAGGGTTATCACTACTATTACGAAGGATAAGTCTCTAGTAGAGTCTGTTTTTTTCTTGATTTGACAGATTACGCACAGCCACACTCTTTAGAAAATGATTAGATATTATTTCCAAAGCAGCCAAAAGGATAGATCGCCTCCAAAATCTCCTGCTCTACAAACCTTATTTGGCAAAAATATGTCAAAAGGCACACCATCAGCAACCAGTAAAAATAGTGCCAGAAGAAATGAAGAGTACGACTCGCCCATTTTGAACTCCCCTTCCTCTTTGTATCGTCACATGTCAACCATCAGCGAGTCAG